GAAGACTGCATGCGATTATAACATATGGCATATTCGGCTGAGGTGCACTGGTACCATGACGGAGGAAAGGAAGTCATGTAAAACACCACCCGAGCTTCACGCCACGCTTCAAGGCAGCCGAACGTGGCAACCACAAAACTTAAATCCGCTACAGCAGGACTGTATGCGAGAGACGTCATTTAGCAGACAACACTTTCTAGCGTCCCGTTTGTACTGGTAATATGAGAGGCAACAAGAGAAAGTTAAACAATGAGAGACATTTGCGAGACGCTACGTGTCCAGTGGGTGCGCATCTGTTCTCCATGCAGTTGTGCTGCATCGATTCTGTACCAACTCGACACGGGTTACGGTAATTTTCGCATCGCCTTTGGTGTCCAGTGGAATCCTGGCAGCAAAAGTAGCCTTGTGTGAGTACGGTCGGACAATGTGAGCTCACGCACGTTTCCCGTGCTGTCCAGCCGTATTCTGCGGCAGAGCCAGCTGTATATTACAACTGCAATGATGAAACGTCACCGCGTCGTCTGCCAGTGCGCGCGAGCTGACGGGAATGTGCCACGCTCCATCGTCAAGCTCCACGGGGTCGGCGCGGTGTGCACTCGTATGGTGGCCGGCCCAGCCGAACATGCGACACCGCACACGTGGTTCCCAGACGAACGTACGGCACGGCACGAGTGCACAGAAAACGCCACCGGTGCCGCCAGCTGATCATGTTAGTAGACAGCTCCACCAGGCCCCGAAAACTCATCGCTAGTTTCGGTTTCAAGGAACATGCGTGATCGTAGTGGTTGCCGGGCATCCGAAAATCCAGTTGAATGGAGTGAGGTTGATGTGAATGTTCACAATTGTTGGGTTTCACAATTTTATTCAAATAAAGACAAATATATACCCCGGTAAAGGACTGTAAAGACACACTTGAGCAATCAATACACGAGACTTTCAGAGACTCCATCGGGTAGCCGCCTATAAACCCGACTACACATCCACCGTTCAACAGGGACGGAGGAGGGCAGACGCATTCCTGAAGTCTGGAGATACGGCCTGCATGTGCACCCTTTTCCGGCCAACATGACACGTGACAACCACAGTGCTGGCGCCTTGCGCGGGCGGAGGAACTACCTCGCCCCTATGGGGACAAACGCGGCTTATTTTACGTGGACGCCTCTGGCCTCATCATTGGGGGTGGTACACGGCTGCAGTTGTCCCCCAAAATGTCGTGGTGAATAGCCTCACATTCAAAGCGCAAGACATAGCAAGTGTGGAGGATGTCGCTATCGCACTAGCTGCCGTGAACCTGGACTTGCGCGTCAACATTACAGGCTCGAGAAGGGCTTACCAAAATATTCAACGTGGGTATGTCCCACACCTGGCGCACCGCATCTTACAAAACAGCAATTACGTCCGTGCCCCTTGTCCCGAAGGATCATATGGGCTCCAGTTCACATGAGCCTAGAAGGCAGTGAAACGACTGACGCCGCCATCTGCGCACTCACTCTCCGGGTACCGCCTACAGACCCTTGCGAAATGAATCTTGAACCCAATCCCGCATTAACATTTTGAGAAATATCTAAGTTTTATTGATTCGACCATCCAATTTGTTCTACACCCTGTAAGGGCCTTACAGAGGTGGAGGAGCGTTTACTCCTTCGCCTTTACATAAAACACTGCTGTGCCCGGCAGTTTTAAATATCTTGATCCTGCCTGTACAGGAAAATGACCGCACTGTGCGGAGAAGTCTTCGAACATCTTCTACAAGATTTGGGCATGCCAGTCAACCCCTCGCCTCACCCCAAAACCGAACCCCACCCGGGAGAACTGGAAGCTGGCCCCGCTCGGCTGTTCCAATCTTGGCGAGCCAGAAGGCCCTGGTCAACCGAGCCCGAGTCGCATTGGATGCCAATGGGCTTCTTTGATGAGGAGCTCACCTAGTGTTTGTGAGGGGTTGCCAGCACTGGGCAATCACCTATATACTCCCTTTATATAGATATATTAAGTTTTTTTATTCCTCTCGCCACTCGCTCAGTGATATTAGAACTTGGGTTGTGCTCAGGTATCTCTCTCGGTTGGCGTGTCCACTACAGAAAAGATAAAGACAGCATGTTATGGGGGGCAGAGAACAGAAGCCGCAGTGAGCTACGCCAAACAGGTCAACCATGCATTCGCTGAAGATTGCTTCATCGGGCCACACAAGTTTCTCGTGGCTCTTTACTGTGCTAACGCGGGTATTTCTAGTAGCGCGAAGGTTTTTCAGCGTTACCTAAAGGCACTGGGTGAGCAGAAGAGTTTGGACTGATTACTTGAGCTTTTCGCACGAGTACATGTAAACCCAGTTTTTTTGCAAGCCTTACTGCAAACACAGAAGTGCAGTGACACTTGACTATGAGGGGATGAGGGAAGCTCCTGTCAGGAAGATGCGTTCATTGAAAGGCTGCAACTCGACTTGGCTTGGCTACATAGTTTGGGTTTCTTTTACTTTCAGTGTGTAGCTCAAATGGTGTCAAATAAGTATAGACTGCTTCCTGCTCACAAAATTTCGTCACCAGGGTTTGAAAATATTTAAGTCTGTATTTCTAATACCATCACTCAAGTACATGCGACGAACTAAACCCTTCTAAAAATTATTACAAAAAATTTCGATACAGGCAAAGTTTTAGCATATACACTTTTCTTTGTCGATGCAACGCTGTTGGCCTGGCGAAGACAAGTCCACTTGCAGAAAGACTGTTTCTGGTGGTGTTTATTTTTCTTTCAGGAAAACTTCAGATTTGATCAAGCAGCTCCATGCCTCTGAACGGATGTTTCGTTTGGTACTCAAGTTCTGTAAGAAAACTATGCGCGCCGTCATAACACACATGATTTAGTAAAATACAACGCGTCCTACTTGCGGTATGTGATAGTTTTCACATTAGTTTGCATATTCTGGGTTCAACGTTTGCTGATCATATTCGTATGTCAGTTGCAAGTTTAAGCTGCTTTTATAGATTGACACTTTGACACTACGTGTATGCCTGTTTTTCATACAAAACCTGCAATAAAAAAGTTCATTTTATTCGCGGCGGTAGAGTTTCGTCTTACTGAGAAATCAGTCAGTTTTACTTTTGCCTCTACAGAAAACATCAACAAAAAATAAAAAAAGAAAAGATCAACACAATTTTACGAATGACCGCATCGCCCAAGCAGCCAGTGGACCTGAAAAAAGGCACGAGCACCTTCCGCTTGCATGCAAAGTGAGAAAGGAGGAATTCCACGGCAACCTTCATCCTCTCGACTTTCATTTATTTCTTTATTTCTGGACGTCATTAGTGATGTCGTAAAAAGTTTACTTTTCGTGAATAATTTCTAGTAGGATGCCCAGCAACCGTCGGTGGTAAACGCGGCGCTGCAATACACGAAAGCAAATACATAGGAAGTATAGGGAGTTTCCGCCCCACGGCTCGACCTCCTAAAGTGCTGGTAATCTAAAAGGGCTGAATGACTTGCATTGCTTTGTGGCATCGTACCCGGTACTTTCGACGACCATAAACCTAGTTTATCGGTCGAGTGCGAAAACTCGCTCTGAATCCAGTAAACAAGGTAGCCGTGAGGAGCCGCTGGCTTCCAGGCTTCCATAATTTTACGCTCGCTATCACTCGTGTACCCAAGGAAACGAATACTTACGCTCTGACTTATTTCAGAGCCAAGCATTTACACGCTGCATAATACAAATATATGGGCAGTCACCACGCTTTCGATGCGTTCAACGTGAAGCTATCGCACCAGCCACCGCGACACCTGAGACGCGCAATTTCGGTGGTTTCCTCAATCCTAACGAGCACGACGCACTTCCGCTCCGGATGCTGCCCGAAGTAGTGGCGTGCTGCATTTGCACTGCTGCCGTTTCGCGATAGCGCGCACTGTGAACTGGTCATTGTACATCTAAAAGGTGCACGCGAGACGCGCGTTGCAGCCAGAAATCGCTGGCCCGAATCAACCGGGCGGCAATCAAACACAGTCGCCCACGGCGAGCGCCCGGTGCGAAAGGGGTCCCGCCACTGGGGCGCGTCCCACTGGCACGAACGACGCAGCGCCCGCGTTATTTGCGCACGGACCCCTTCCTTGGTCACGCCAAGGCTCCAGGGGCCGCCCGCTGGCGTCTTATACACGACGCTCCGCGGAAGTAAGTTAGGTGCAGTGCAACTCAAGCTCCTGCGCAATTAATAAGTGCGATTGACATGAACTTGACACTTCAAGTGCTGAAACACAGCACTAAGCCGTTTTCAACACACTGAACTTGATATGGCAACCTAGTAGAGGCGATGCATATTACACGCGTTTTCGTTTTCCTAATTGAAAGGCAGTTTTTATTAACGGCGGCAATTTTATTTTAACACATAGAAATGAAGTCGGCAATACCATATCGAACATGAACATGCTTTGCAGAACCACGAGGTTAAGGGCCCCATGTGACTTCAGTGCCGGAGTGTTCATAAAGTGCCTTGTCTAAGCAGGTTCTCATCGTTATAGTAAGCTCTCTGGGAGTTTTAGTCGCACGGTTCTAATTTGAAATCAGCAAATCACGCTCAGCATCATATCTTGCCAACTAATCCATGATCGACTGTAGGGGCTCATATGTGTTTTAAAGTATGGTTAAATTGTGCTTAAGTCCACATAGCGCTCTTGTCATTCGCCTTTTTTGAAAGCATTGCGTGCTACTGTATATGATCGAGAAAGGTGACGGTATCTTTTAATGTCTTATATTCCTTTTGAAGCCGCCACACTGCACGCAATTCTGAGGAATTATGCAAAGGTCCATGAGCAATTTTCCTTTCTATTGCGCACCAACTGTGCCAATTTAGCGCTTTCCCAACAGTCGGTAAGGTGCCTCTGGTACTTTCCCTCTTTCCACAATCTCAAGATCTCGCTGGTCCTCCCAGCGGAGTTACGCAGGGGCTGATGAGAGGCGGTGCTTGAGATGTATATAAGAAACTGCATGCGGCACCTGAATCCACACTAGTCTATTGCCTCTGATCACAAAGGGACTAACGCAGGAAAGAAGATGAAGAGTATGGTAAGGCCATTGCGTACAAGTTTTGCGGAATTCCACAACATGGCGGAAGGGTTATGAAAGTAATAATTGGCAGAGTGACCATCCCAGAAATACATGAGTGCAGGGTTCTTTCTGCAAACCAAGACATTTTTTTTTAATTGTGAATATCTCTTTGTAGTAATCCGAATGAATTAACTTGCTGCTGCGCACTACAAACGGGGGCTAGCCAACATTTTCTTTCATAAGGTATAACTGTTGTAATTTCTGGCGTAACAATACTCTAATGTTTTCACGAACGAATTATGTAATTGAATCAATTAACACCATCCTAAATGCATAGATTGCTGTGCAGTCCACATAATACTACGAGTAAATATGTGACTGTGCGCTCTTGTATCGCTGAATTTCTGCTGGAGACTGAATGAATATAACGCGCTAGGGCACTAGCAGAACGACAAACTTCAGGGCAATGAGGCGACAGCTACGTTTCACATATACCAGGTTTTATTAAACTGCATCAATTGACCTTCTGCAAACATATATTTTCGGAGAACTGGCACCAAAGTACTAGAATACGAAACTTGGACGTCCTGACTCGTTAGATAGGGCGAAATTACAGCGATATCTCAGTTATTTCTCAACTCAGGATAGCAAACTCCAAGTGGCTACGAACAGCACATGGTCTTCTTTTGTTAAAAGGTGGTGTGTATGAAAGGTCACAACTGAAAGGTCGGTAGCAACTAGTGAGAAGTTAAATAAGAACAAGAAAGTCTGTGTAAAGAGCTCGGAAGATAGAGAAAAATAAGCAGGAAGCAGTTGAAGAGAAATCGCGCAAATCTTTATACCGAACACGTGCAGAGAACTAGCCCGCGCTATTATTCACCACAGAATTTCAAACCAAATTACTTCATGGTATGCCATAAAATTCGAATTAAAACCAGGAAATCTGTTCCAATAATAGCCGCGTCACACTATTGGTGTTCTGTTTTGGGAACTCTTTTGCTTATAACGCCGGCGTTCTGATTAGATTTATTTTGACAATACTCTGTTACAATAATCAGCGAGCAGAGCACGCTGGCTTTGGTCTTCGCAAAGGTATCCGGGAAGGTAGCCGAGAATGAGTTGATTGTACATTGCACTTGCTCTTGGTCTCCCTCTCAGCTTATGCCAACTTTTTCTTTTTTTGAGAAAGCAGTTTAGACGTTATACGAAGACAATCCAGTAGAATCCAATTCGAGGTGTCACTAAGTGTAACCCTTTCCACTTATGATGAGGTCATTTACAAAGACAGAGCGGCCACGGAAAGTCTTCGTAAGCCTTTTTGTACAGGGGAATCATTTCGCCTTATGTTGTTCTTTGTGGAGGTCATCTCTTCATACGTTGTGGTTGTTTCCTTATCCAAGCTTCTGCATATAATGTGTTGCTGCTTACGTTACTGAAATGACTCTGGTTCAATGAACTGTGTCCCTTCATTGCCGCCCCCCCCCCTTCCGCTAAGGATTCTGGTTTTATTAATGCTGTCCCTTAATTTCCGCCACCAGCGCTCTACACGACTCCTCCTTGTTTAAACAACTGACTAGTGAATTCTTTCTGTTCGCAGCTTGCAACGCTTCTCTTGGTCGTCCTGGCTGCCACTGTGGTAAACGCCGGTATTCACTACGGCGGCTACGGTGGAGGTGGCTACGGCGGTGGCTACGGAGGCGGCTACGGTGGTGGCTACGGAGGAGGCTACGGCAAGGTCATCGTTCTTCACGGAGGCTACGGTGGTGGCGGATACGGCGGAGGATACGGTGGTGGATACGGCGGCGGTCACGGCTGGTGGTGATGATCACTTCGCCTGCGAGAGATAAGGAAAGCCGGTGGCCGAAGCGACGGCCATTCCGAGGGCACGAGATGTGACTGCTAATCGAACGGATAACCTCACCTTTGTAAATAAACCTACGATTTTAGAAAACTCTGGTGTTGCAGTTGAAAAAGACACGCACCCGTTCGGATATCCTGGCGGCTGCGGCTTCGCACTGCTGAGTACTACGACATAGGTTGGATTCCCGAGCGGTGGCGCTGCCTTTCAATGCTGTTTAAATACACTGATTTAAGTCTACTTCCATCTAAATGCAGTTCAGTAAAACCTAGCTGGTCCAAATATTTGTGAGTGCTACACTCTTTGCCGATTCATTCATTTTGTAGAGAATCAATCACTGTCGTCTATGAGAAAGCACCAAAGACCGCTTGATTAGCTACAATAATTTCACAAAAGCCCTCTATCCGGTCAGCCAATAACTTCTTCCGCCGAGATACAGGCTGATTTGGGCGCATCTGGTGGCCTTCAAACAACTGGAAATTCGCATGTCACAGTATAATAGAGTCTACCCGAAAACCAGGCCCCAAACTAAACGGGGAGGGGGAAGGTGCAGGAGCTCGCGTCCCACATTAATACACACCACATTAAGCACATGAGAGAACAGGTACAACCATTTATACAAAAAAATTAGCTATGCGACACCATGTGCATGACACCACGTGCGTAAGCATATGATGTCCCTCCGTTGGACAATTTACACATGGGCATAAACGCACGTGTACACACACGAACTTGGACATACGCATACACAACACACATAAAACCACGCACATGCAGATAATCATGAAAAAATTCTCGCGTAGAAGTACAACATTGACTGTACTGGCATACAAAACGCACTTATATATACGTACATACACACACGTGTACAAATTTACACAGAAACAGACGCGCGCACTCACACATACACACCGAAATGGAACGATCGGTGCCAGACGGCTCCGTGGTGTCAATCGATACGTCGCACAAATCCGCGGTGGGAGCTGGAGTCTATCCCCTTGGGGCTTGGCGAAGATTCACTTTCTTCGTGGACGAATGACGTGGGAGACGAGAAAAGCCCACGGGAAGATAGGATGGAACAGGGTGTCTGGAATGGGAAGGATTGCCAGACGGTGCGTCTCCCAGAACTCAGACTCACACAAGCGTGCACAGGCGGGAACGTCTGGAGAGAACGGTAAGGCGCGCCCGTCGTCTCGACTAAAAGCATTCACAGTCTTCAGAGCTAGAAGCCCAAAGTTAACCAGAACCTAGTCCTCCGGAGATAACATCTTGCTTCTTAGAAACGAGTTCTATGAAAAGGAGGGCATGTGCGAGTTGACTGTAGGGTAGCGGACATTCAGTTAAACGAATAGAAATTGTAATCTGATATAAGCACTGCATTTTCCCCGTGTGGTCAGTTGAGTTAAGCTTTAGCTTTCTGAACGCTGCACCCTTTTACGAACAAAGAGAAGAAGGCCAGCAGCAGACGATCCCGGACTTAAGTGAGAGCCCGTTTGATTTGCGAGCCGTGAAGTTCGATAGTGCGGACGAAGAGACGAGTGGCCAAAGCAGAGAGCACGCGACATCGACGCAAAAAGTGGTGGTGAGAACGATAAGGTGAGAATATTGAACCGCCATCTTAGGCGCCCGAAGCCAACTCAAAGTTAACGAGAAAAAGTGCCGAAGAAGGTGCATGTGCACTTGTATCAGAATACGCGAAGGAATTGAATTCTAATTCAAATGAAGCAGAAAGTAAACAGGCTAAACTTGAGCCTGATTCGAAGACTGCAATAACCGTATTAATATTAAAAAGTAAGTAAATGGTCTAAACTAACAAATAGCGAATAAATGTGCTGCACAAATTTACTCGGTAAAAAAGATAGTTGAGCAGTAAGTAACCTCACGTTCCAGGGGCATCGGCATTGTTCTGGTTGGATTACACTTCGTGTGCATATAAAAAATTCACACGTTTGAAAATCGTTTAAGAAGTCTGAGCAAATTATGTTGTGCAATTCGAAAGTCACCCAGCTTACCATGTGAACACGATCGATAGGCAAGAAAACGAAACACGAACATTCGGGGGGGAGGGGGGGGGCGATGCCACCTTGAAATTGCCGCACATAAGGTGAGGTCATAAATATTGTCGCGATGCGCTGCGTCGTACGTAGTTCAGAGTGAGTAAAAATGAAGCACGGATGCTTTGAATGAATCACAGAGCCGTCACTTACAAAGTTCTCGAAAATTTATTTCTGTCGATGCTATCAAAATAAGAAAATATTTTTAAATCGTTGACGTCCCTGAAGGTGGGTTTGGGGTGTAATTCAAAATGAAGCCTTATCCTTACTTTCACCTCTATTTTAAACCTATAATGAAGAAATAAACAACGTTAATGTTTTCAAAGTACCATTGAACAATCTCGAATGATTGATTGCTTTCATTCAGTGTCTCCTAAAAAAACAGCTCGGTATGCGTGAGCCCCGCCCGTAATATTCCGCACCGTCATGAAGGCTCACTAAAACTGGGTTCAACGTACTAACGCCCTACGGGTGTGTGTATAAGAAGCGGGGCCCTTGACCGCCTCTTTGGAACCGGGGATGAAACAAGCCGCGAGCCCGGGGTGCTGCGGTGGAAACATCTTCGGGGTCACGTTTTAAGCGCCGCACTAGCACTATTTATAGGCGCATCTCCCTCGTTCGGGCATACGTACGCCGCCGCAACAAAACAGTGTCGAAGAACCGCTTAGCAAGTATATTGCCAGGAGTGTTTAGCGCCTTGTTTTGACGTGTTCGGGTTTCGCCAGCAACGACTGTTTGCAATGCCTGGTGCAGACCATGCTGCAGTGTATGAAAAGCTTCACGACTGTTACAGATAACTCTGTTAGGATTACGCCAGTATCTGGATAGTGAAGTTTATAGAAAATCCAACGTGAGCACCAGCAATTAGGGTGGAGTGCTCCAAGCCGCATGAACAAATGCTTTTCCACATATATTTTTTTAAATTTTCATTTATTTTTTATTCTTATTGACTGCACATAAACAAAAAAACTATGGCTAGTGTTTTCTGTAATCTGTCGGTACCGCAAGCGCTTAAAAAAAGCTGGCACACCACAGATCATACTACTCGACGCTGTTCTTGCCGCTATCAATGTAGAGCTCCACTTGCTTCTACTTGGAATCTTTCATTTTCTGGGCACACGTTCACCCAAATAAAAGGCTTCATCTTGGAACACTCCGACTGGTGCCCTCATCAACGTGACGACCAGATTTTGTGGCGTCTGCAACGTCATGACATCTGTGTGGGCGCTGGGTGAATATGAAATGAGCAGCGCAGCCCCAACAGAATGAGGCCAGTGATTTATTATTATTCCGTGACTCTTGCACTCGGTAATGAACGCGCTTCTCTGGAGAGTAAAACTTGAACGTCACGCTAAAATCCACATTGATACTGGTTTTTTCTTATTTCGGGGCGGTGACTTATTCAGAGGCAGAATATTTTGTTTTGAAATACCCTACAAATGCAATGAAATAAGTATGCATTGAAAGACTCGTTAACATTGTTACACTTACAAACAATAAAAAAGATATCTAAAAAACAATGATGTCAACGAAGTATAGGAGATGCTAGGGGAGGCATATGCGAAGTATATAGGAAGGAAGAAAAGTGAATGATGAGATAACTTGTCATGACAGAGACCGAACCTGCTGCCTTCGAATAACACTTTCGATGCTCTCAAACGCACCCGATGCGTTATTCGAACGGTGCCTGTTCGGCTTCTACCCACGTCATGTTTTCGTCCACTACACTTTCTTCATAATGAAATACAATTACATCTAATAACCTACCCCATACTTCCCCTGGCATCATTGTTGTATCTCATTGATATTCTGTGCACACACGTCCAAATCACTTACCCGTTTAATAATATTCATGTATTGGTTCGGCTGTGGGGACACTCTGTTGAGAGTTTTAAAGCAACTAGTAATGCAGTCGATATCACAGTTAGAGCATTGCTAATTTCAATGCCATAAACAAATGATGAAAGTTAGGACGTATACCCTTCACTAGCACTGTATGACAAAGCCTTTCGCAAATTCTATTTGAGACGTAGTGCTCATTGGTTTGATTAATATGTAAGGTTTCAGGTCCCAAAACCACCATATGATTATGAGAGATGCCGTGTGGAGAGTTCCGAAAATTTCGACTGCCCTGGGTTGTTTAATGTGCGCCTAAATTTAAGCACATGGGCTTACAGCATTTTCGCATCCAACCAAAATACAGCCGATGCAACCGATACTTTCTCCTGCGACCTGTGGGTCAGCATCTGAGTACCTTCGCCACAAGACTACCGTGGAAGGGTGACACGTAGCCCTTGCAAAGACAGTTGCAAGGCGAAAAGAAAGTCACTCCCTCGTCCTGAAATGCAGATTAGTGCTCAAACGCCCTTAAACGAGAAAGCATTGAAGTAATCTTTTCGCAGAATTTTCGATATTTGCAGCGTCAGCGTTGTCGGTTATGAGCAAAAAATCAGGGTTGGCCGTGAGGGAAAATATGAGGTTGATGAAATAAAAATACTGGCCGGATGGTGAAATCGAAACTCTTAGGTATGCAAGTGGGGAAGGCTATACTGAGTCCGCGTCAGGCCCGTAGCCAGAAATTTTTTTCGGGGGGTGGACTTCTCCATGATTTCAAGAAGGCATCCCCTTGCAATGGTCCTTCTTCACTCTCTATGCCTAGGCGAAAAAAAATTCTGGGGTGGGGGAGGGTCACAGGCCTAGTGCGCCAGCCCCTGGATACGCCCCAAGTCCATGTGGGTGCGTGCGTGTCAATATCACTACCAAGTTAAACTCTTAGAAGCAGGGCTAAAGGTACTCCACTTTTCTCTTATTTCATTCTGCACTATACGTGGCACTGTATTGTATCGCGCATCCTTTCAATCTCTTGGGGGATCTTCAGTGCTTTTACGCGAAAACCCTCAGTAATCCCTCATAGGCTCCCCCCCTTAGTTTCTCTCTCCTTCCCTTCTACCCGAAGCAATAGAAATAGGACCCTCCTCCCCCAGTTTCTCTCTCCTTTTCCTCTACCCAAGGCAGAAGATATTGAAAGACGAACTATGC